GTGCATACATCACTGCCGTCCTTTAAACATGAAATATTAGTCACTGTCCATTCAACTTACTGAACAAAGCAACTACCTGAGGCAGTCAGGTGAGTCTATAGTGTGAAACTTGATTTCAGGCCCCAGCTTGCAACAAGGAAAACTGCACTAGGAAAACTTCACTTCATTGCTCTATCAATCTTTTTAACCTTGACCTCCAAGACTCACTCAGCCTAAGAGACTGGAGCAATGTAAGTGCTGTTTCCACACAGGGCAGAGGGCTTGAAAAACCAATTCATTTCTTAGCTCCCTGTTAACACCCATTCAGTTATTTGCCTGAAGTGCTTTCTAGAGGCCTCCACATGGAAACCTCTGTCGTTCCAGCTGACAGCTTATAGTAGTCCAAAATACAGAATCAAGTAGTACAAGAATCAGGGCCTACTAAGGTCACACACCTTAAGGAATATACTGATGCTAGCAGAAACCAGAATGCTCTGATATTCTACTAGCTAGTTAAAACTTTTTTTTTTTGCTTTTTTGGAGGGGGGGAATCTATTTTCACTGAGGTGTTTTAAAATGTGTTTTTATTGTTTTGACTAATGTTTTTCCAGAAAAATATGTTTCCTTCAGAACCAGTAAGAAACATACTAAAACATAAAATAGAAGGAATCTCTGTTTTATACAACTGTTGATACATCCTCTCATTTAGAAGTAGTAAAAAGATCTGCTTTATTGCACTCTTGCCTCATAGACCACTAGTTAGCAGTATCACACAGAATGTGAAAGTGCATTTATTTACCCCTGAAAAAATTAACATTTGCTTTAATTTTAGAAGGGTGCATTTCCAAATTCAGATGACCATAAAACTGACTAAAAGTATAGAAAGGATACATTATAAAGGGGCAGACACCATAAGGAATTACATATCAGGCATCAGAATTCAGGTCTTGCCAAAACCTCCACATATTGCAACCCACAGGCCCTGCTAGTACATTGTGTTAAACATCTACTTGATATTTTCTTTGATATCTCTAATGGGAGAATTTAGGGATTTTTTCCTAATGTAGAAAGCCTCCCAATAGTAGGCTCAAAGTCCAGTTAACACATATCATGGAAAGGCAGCAGAAACAAACTGTCTTTTTTTGTAGTTTTGGCATAAATGTGGCCAGCAGGACTTTTACTACTTACCATTTTATAGATGGGTAGCTGTCTTCTCGGAATGTGCCAGCTCCACAAGCTTTCTCTGTCCTGACCTTGTGTTATACTGAACTGAAAAGGTATGCACCCTGAAAAGTCCTCTTCATCCCTCCCAGGATAATGAAGCACACCATTCTCCATTTTCATACAATACTTTTAAAGAGTCACTTACTTTAAGACTGCACCTCTTAGTGCTTCTCTTTCTTTGGCTTCGCCTGGTTCTTCCCCAGTGCATGGAATGATATCTGCCTCTGTATATCTGAGCATGGAGAGTTAAGGAGAGCACTGGCTGATATAAACTTTATGGTTTTTATTTTAATGTTTATTTCAAACTATCAAGGTACAGCAGTTAAGAGAAACTTAGAGGTATGCAATGTGCAATTGCAAATGCACCACATAGTACATTTAAAAAATAAAAACAAATAACGTGACATACTGAAGGCTAACTTTCAAAGGGTACTTGAAATGCCAAGATGAAAAGCAAACATCTATCTGATAAAAACACATTCATTTGAAATAAGCACAAAGGGAAACTTGCATCTCCTGAGCAAGGAAAAGCCAGTGAAGACTGCTGCTAGAGAATAAATAAATAAATAAATAAATAAATAATATATTTCCCACCTCTCCCTGTGGACTGGTAGGATCACTAACTGAACAACATCAATCACCACCCACCTCTGATTGCAGAATCATTTTGTGTCTTGCTAAAACCCCTAAAATCCCAAATCCATAAATCTGAGCTTGCTGCAAGAGACATACACTTAGAATTAAAGAATTATGAGTGAGGAATTATTTTTGACTATCAGAACTCAAAAGACCTCTCAGTGCTCTTGCACAAAAATATATCCCAAATGTTCTGGATTTCAACATTTGAATGTAGGTCAAAAGAAGAGTAATTTGAAGCTATTATTAAAAGGAATGGGAGTCAGAAATCCTGGTCAATCTATTACAAATCATCCTGAGATTCACCAGTAGATACAAGTGTATATTTGGCCCTACTGGTGATTTAGAATACACACAACTTGTGTGCTGGTCTCCTAACTTTTAGAAGCTAAAACAATTAAAACCTGCACACATATCAGAAGAACAGCAATGTTTTTAAGTAGCTCAACAAAGCTACAGCTTCACAGTGGGAGTCTAGGATCTCTAGAAAATGATACTGTGGTTTTCCATATTCCAGTGTGTCATCTCCATCCACATCAAGATCAGCATCACTGTCTGGATTCTCCTTGCCACTGCACATGACAAACCCAGATCCTGGAAAGAAAGAAAATGTGTGGAGCATGTCACTATACTGAACTCCAAACAGAGGAACATAAAACTTGGGACAGGGGAAGAATGGAAGAGAAATAGCAATTTCATCTGCACATGTTTGTAGCAGTTCCCTTCCTCTAGAATAATGCTTCTCAGACTACTTGGTGTGTGGGACCAGCAATTACTTTTTTGCAATGTGCCACCGACTGTCACCATATATGTGCCCATGGGTTCCATCATTTCCTTTTTTCCTGACAACTCAAGAATGGACCAATGGGTTGGGGATTGTATCTAGAGACAATCACTTTGAGAAGCACTGCTATAGGGCATTTTTATGGCCTCCAGGAGTCAATTTTTGGGCCTCAAATTGTCCCCAAATGTGCTATAAGAGCATTTTCACCTTGTTATTGCTTCCCCCTTGGCCATTTAGGCTCTAAAAAGTTTCCTAAAAAGCAGATGATGAAAAGAAAGTGACAACTTGGTCACTTGTAAAGAAGGCCTCTCCTGGACCTAAAATTATCTCAGCAGGGGCCCTCCAAACATGGCAAAAATGGTCCTTACAATAACTAGCAAGCATCTGAGGGTAAAAAATGGGGTGTGGGTGTGGTGTGCCAGACTTACAGCCCTCCAATTTTTCCTAGTAGGCTAATGAAGCCTCCTCCTATCTGACAGCTGTCTATCCCTGCTTTAGGGTTACTGTAGCAAGGGTTGATGCAGATTATAACACTGGCAGGAATTATTTGAAATTTATTTGAAAAGAGAACAGTTGTTTTATAGTTTGATTTATGAAAAATAAGGTTTTATATAATTCCCTACTGTTCAAACTCAGGCTGAGATTCATTTATCCAGAATTCTGAAATATTCCAAAAACCAAAACTTTTTTCATGGGTAGATGAGCTAGTGACATCTTTGCTTTCTGATGGTTCAATGTACACAAACTTTGTTTCATGCACAAAATTAAAAATATAATATAAAATGACCTTCAGGCTATATGTAGAACATGTATATGAAACATAAATGAATTTTGTGTTTAGACATCTCCAAGATATCGCTTTATGTATGTATATGCAAATACAGGTATTACAAAATCCAAAATATTTCTGGTCTGAAGCATTATGAAAAATGGAGACTCAACCTGTATCTCATAGGGAGACAGAAAATTGTGGGAAAATAACAAGCCTCTCAGATGTTCTAACTGTACCATGCAAGAACAAAAAAGCACACTCAAGCAAGTGCTAGCAGGCCTGTGACTTATTGGAATTATTGTGCCAAGCAACAGGAGCTGAGCAAAGAAATATTGAGGTATAACTCAGGGCATGAAAAGCATGGCTTAGACCAGGGGTAGGCAACCTTTCCCCTTTAAGGGCCGAGGGACTTCAGCTCCCAGAAGCCTCAGCCATGTTGGCCAATAGTCCCGTGTTGGCCAATAGCTCCTGGGGTTCTGGGAGCTGAAGTCCCTCGGCCCTTAAAGGGGAAAGGTTGCCTACCCCTGGCTTAGCCTATGCATGAAAAGCATAGGAAGAATTCTGTATATTCCAAATGCAGAGGTGTGTAAGTGGGGAAAAAGGGGTTCCACCTGTTCATTCAACCTGTTGAATGTACATCACTGAATCATACATAGATACCAAACTTTTGGGTTTTCAGGAAGAGAACAGATTCCAGGAATTACCACCAACTTTGTCATAATCTTTCATCTTTTCATCAAACAGAATTCTCAGCCTTCCCCCATCCTATCATAAAATTTGACCATATTAGAAAGATTTTAATGAGCAAAGAGCAAGGGGGACCAAGATGCAGTATCATGGAGGTGCTTGAAAGAAAGGAATGAATTTAATATCAAGATGGCATGAGCTAACACTCAACAAAATAAGCGATCTTCCTGCCCCAAATTATGAAAAGCACAACACAATTTTGGGAACTAGACCTTAAGCATAAAAGCAAAATCAATCAAGTTATCAGAGAAATTTTGTTCAAACAGTTTCATCAGGATTTCACACAACCCTGAACTCTATGGGAAGTCTAGAATTCAGTGCTAAAATTTATGATTCTGAATTCAGAAAATCCAGTATTATATGGCTCAAATAATAAGTAAAACAAACCAATGAAGATTTATTCTGCTTACTGTCTTTCTTGGCTACAGTTTGTATCTTCTTTTACAATTAGAAATTACACGTACACTCGTCCCTCCATTTTTGTAGACTGTAGGCCTGCGGTTTCAGTCCTTTGTGGACTGGCAAGCGGGGAGGGTTAAAATGGCCACACAGGAGTATGCAGCTATTCAAGCCTAAGGGGCTTGAATATTTGCAGATTTCCATTTTCGTGGGGGTGTGTGTGTCTGGAATGGATCCCCCCGCGAAAATGGAGGGACAACTGTATTCAATTTAGTTCACTCCTCAGCCACTATAAAGGCTTGACCACTGCTTTCAAAAAGTTAAAACAGATTATCTGGATTTTGCAACAGCCATTTGATGTTATGTGTACTAGACAGTGAACAACTCCACAACACAGACACCCTTACTAGAATCTCTATTAAAGTCTGTGCTTTAGCGAACATATATACTTTCCCTTAAGCCAATGTAGTGTAGTGGTTTGAGCACTGGACTACGACTCAGGAGACCAGGGTTTGAATTCCTGCTCTGGATGACCTTAGGCAACTCATATTCTCTCAGCCTTAGAGGAAGGAAAAAACAAACTGCCTCTGAACAAATCTTATCAAGAAACCCAGTGAAAAGTTCGCCTTAGGGTCACCATAATTTGGAATTGACTTGAAGGCACAAAACAACAAACACTCTCCCTTATATGCAGTACAGGTTGAGTCTCCCTTAGTCAAAATGCTTGGGACCAGAACTGGATGGGATTTTGAATTTTGAATTTTTAAAAAAATATATCTATATTCACATCTATGTACATAATGAGATACCTTTGAGATGAGACCCAAGTTTAAACACAAAATCCATTCATATTTCATATATACCTTATGCATAGTCTGAAAGTAATTTTATACAATATTTTAAAATAATTTTGTGCATGAAGCAAAATGTGTGTACACTGAACCATCAGAAAGCAAAGGTGTCACTATCTCGGTCACTCAAGTTTTGGATTTTAGTGTATTTCAGAATTCTGGATAAGGGAGACTCAACCTGTATAAGTTGCACAGATTTCCAAGTCTTCTCAGCAACGGCTCATTTAACTGCTTTTAACTATTAGTTCATCAAAACAGTTCAGGGATCTGAGAGGACAGAAGTGCCGAAAGACTGGGACACTTCATCATAGTTGCCTAAGGACTGGTAGTGCTAATTCACATAGGCAGGGACAAAATGTACACTGCGTTGTTCACTAATCTGCACACAGTGAGCCAAATTCTGCAGCCAAAAAAAATAAATAAAAGAAAATTAAGAAAACACCATATTAATGAATTTGAAATCTGTCAGGTTTCTTTCTGACAGAATGTAAATTTTTGTCTATGCATGCATAAAAACTCCTAATACAGCATCTCACACTATTTAGTAAAGAATGACTTTGCCAAAGAAGGGAACATGTGTTTGCAAAGACAATTTTTTAGAAACATTTCCTCATGTTCCATCAGAAGTCTTATGCAGAGGTGTCTTAAACCCTAGTCTGTGGAACAAAACAAGGTCCTGCCCATGGAAAGACTTGATACATAATTTATTTCTACCCACCAGCTTTAAAAAGTCACAGATCCCTGTTCTACACTGGAGTGAGACAAAGAGGAAAAACTTTTAATTCTTGAACTGCCATCAGGTAGTATTGTAGCCATAGTATCTTAAGATTCTACACATGGCTAAAACTGCCCATAAACACATCCTGTCTTCAGCATAAAGATGTGTTTAAGAATGGTTAAACAGGGTCAAAGCTTTTGTTGAACCTTTCCAGTCCACCTCAATCATATTGCTTCATTACACAGAGCACTGAAAACATCACGGCAGCTGTTTAAATATTTGAGGTCTAAACTGGTTCAAATTTGTTATTCATCCCAGGTTCATTCAAACCAGATTTCTAGACAAGTACAGTTATAAACAGATTAAACAGGCTGTTCTCTTAAAGCAAGACAGCCCAACAGGACCACACCTGCTTTGTGTGTGAATATGCAAATAAAATGAAAGGATCTAAAAAACTACAACTTTTTGACATGCCATATAGTCGACTATAAGTCAACCACATGTATATGTTGAGGACAGACTTTGGGACCAAAATTATGGATTTTGATATGACCTGTAGATAAGTTGAACATAAAACTCAGGGGCATGTAACAAAGGATGTAAAGGATGAAGCAAAGGAAA